GGATCATAAAAACGACCGAAAGAACTTAGAGCTAATACGCAAAGTCGGGGATCATAGAAAGGACCGAAAGAACTTAGAGCTAATACGCAAAGTTGTGCGTTGGGTAGTTTGTTGTGGGAGGTCGGATTTGGGAAAGGATAGTGTCATGGAAGAGATTCCATTAGTGTGTGGCAATTGGAATTTCTTGATCAATCGATGGGTTTTCTTGGTTGATTCAAAAAGAGGATGCATAGTGCTTTATGTAAAGAGAAGAATGGCGTTTGACGAGTTCTGTGGAATGGTATATGAGGATTTCAGTTTGTATAGGAGGATTAACGAGGTCCATCTATTATACAAACTTTCAAGAAAGCATATTTCTGAGGCAGAGGACACTCCTCCGGTTTTTGTTTGTAATGCCCGTCAATTTGAAGGATTTATTCGGCAATGTGAAACTGATAATGTGCGATGATTGTGTGTTCAGATAGAAGAAATAGAGAGGAAGGTAGAAAGGGAAAAAGTGGAAGTAAAATATGGGGGAGAAAACAAGCTGGAAGGAGAGCAGACCAACGAGTGAAAGTCATGTGGTAAAGAACCAATGATTGGTTCGGCTATGAATGATAGTGTTGATATAGAAGAGGAAGGAATTGGTGATGATGAAGAAGAGAGCGATAGATTCGACTGTTGTGATGACAGTGACGGGGCAAGTGAGGGGGATGAAGAAATTGGGTTGCCTTGTAAGTTTGTAGGAGAGGAAGTAGTTTACCAGGAAGAGGTGAGATGTGAAAGTAGGAGGGAAGGGAAAGGAGAAGTGGTGCGGATTAAAGCTCTGGCTCGTAGTTCTAAAGTAATGGATATGTCAGATTGTGATATAGAAGTAGGGGACAAATTTGATACGAAAGATGACTTAGAGACAAGATTGAAGATATTGAGTGTGTATAAAAAGTTTGACTTTGTCGTTGATCGGTCAAGACCCAATTTGTATGTTGTGAAATGTTGGGTTCCTGGATGTCAATGGAGATTGCGAGCTTCACCGATAGGCATCATTCTTGTTCTGTTTTGGAACGATCTGCCCGGGGGTAGAAAAGCTACTCCAGATGTTTTGGGAGAATTGTAAAAGGGTTACGTGGGTGGTGTTGGGGAGGGGGTTGTGCCAAATCATGTGGGAGCTGCGTTAAATCTACTTTATGGAGTAAAGGTATATTAATTACCTAAATGTATAAATTTAGCTAATATAAAGATTTATGTGGATGATTGACTCATTTTTTCTGACTAGAAACTAAATAGGATGAGTATTGGAAGAGTCATCCCACTCTAAGATGCGCGACAGAATTAGTTAGGGGAACTTATGAGAAAGGGTATGAAGAACTCCTTGGTTATTTATACAAGATTAGAAGAGCAAATCCTGGTACACTTACTAGACTGGAAGTGGATGAGTTAGATAGTTTTAAAGCTGTTTTCATTGCATTTGGTGCAAGCATAGATGGATTCACTTTTATGCGTAAAGTGATAGTTGTAGATGGAACATTTTTGAAAGGGAAATATTTAGGTATGTTGTTATTAGCAACAACACAAGATGGGAATTATAACATCTTCCCGTTGGCGTTTGCTGTAGTTGATACGGAAAATGATTAGTCTTGGGAATGGTATTTTAGACAACTATGCAATGTGATACCTGATGATGAAGGCCTAGCGATTATATCAGATAGACATAAATCGATTGGAAAAGCTATTGGTAGAGTGTATCCCATTGCAAGTCGTGGTATTTGTACATACCATCTACACAAAAATATAATGCTGAAATTTAGAGGTAGTGAAACATTCAGCATGGTAAAGCAGGCGGCAACTGCTTCTAGGGAACATGATTTCAATGTTATATTTCAGTAGATCGAAGAATTGAATTTAGCATTACATCAGTATTTGCTCCGTGCAGATGTCAGGAAATGGTCGAGAGTGCACTTCTCAGGTGACAGATATAATTTTACTACCTCCAACATTGCTGAATCTGTCAACAAAGTGTTAAACCAGCTAGACATTATCTGATAGTTCGTCTTCTTGACGAGATAAGGTTGATGTTGACACGATGGTTTGCTGCAAGGCGTATACAAGCTGGAATGATGACTATTGTCCTTACCAAAGGTGTAGAGAAGCTGTTAGCGGTAAGAGAGTTATGTAGATATATGTATAATAACTCTTTAACTCTTTGAAGTCTAAATTTGATGGACTGGTCATATCATGGGTTTAACTATATCTTTCTTGGTTTAACTGTCTCAGGGGCGTGCTGAGAGAGCTAGTATACTATCGGTCCAACAAATTGATCATCATCACTACGAAGTTCGTAGTGGGACTTCTGTGAATGTTGTCAACATGTCTCAAAGAAAGTGTTCTTATCGTATGTTTGACCTCGACAAACTGACTTGCATTCATGCTATTGCAGCGGTGGAGAAAGCTAACATATGCAGGATTTCTAAATGCCACCCTTACTTTTGGACTGAATATCTAAGGAAAGGTTATGCGAATTCAATAATGCCCATAGATGATAACTTTCCTCTACCAGGTTTGGTACAAGTTAAAGTATGCAAACCTCCATATGTGCGCCCAAAGTCTGGGCGTCCAAAGCTTTCGAGGATTAAAGGACATTTTGAAATGGCATTGGCAAGTAAAAAGCCAAGAAAACCCCATGCGTGTTCTAATTGTGGCCATGTTGGACACAACCGCAAGACTTGCATTGGATGATTACCATGGTTTGTCATGAAATATTAGTTGTGTTTCACTTTGCATTTTCCTTCAATTTTGTAAGGTATTGAATTTATACGAATCCATTTTTATAAGTCTGTTCAATGCCGTTTTCTTGTTTTGTCAATTAATTAACCTCTATGTTTCCAACGTGATGAGTACCCAAGACTTCATTTAATATTTAAATATTTAATCGTATTTGTCAAATATAAAATCAGATTTGGTTTAAGGTATAAAAATATATATTTGTTTTATACTATATAGTACTTAGAGAATCTAACTTGGTTTCAAATATAAATTAATTAGTGATTCAGATTTCCTTGTTCATCATTCTTCTTGTTATTCACCCCAACCACCAAATTTAACTCGGTCGCTTACGTCTTTTCTTCATTTAGTAAAATACTCAATTTACAGTTGCCAATTAATTTACTCACCAACAAAATTTACTACCTTACCAACTCTTCTCATCTACAAGCGAGTAAAGTGGGAATAATATTGATCCTTTCATAAAAGGAGGTACTTATATCTCACCTCTCTTCCTCCTATCAATATCACCTTCTTCTTCCAACAGGACTTACCTTCTCACTAATGTTGTAACTGAAATCATCAGACGTGTGGGGACTCAAGGATTTCGATGTCTTGGTCCACTCATTGCAGCAGGGCCAACGTTCAAGGCTCTTGTATTTTCCGATGCTGTGTTGGTGGATGTTGATCTCGATGAATTCATTTTCAATGGCCAACTCGCTAAACTCTCCTCCCCTTAGACCAGTCTTATTGAATTGCCTCAACAGCCGCAATCCAACTGCTAAGTTTATTGAATCTCTCCGCCAGTTGACGCAAGAAGGGCAAACACAAGAGTCTTTGGATATGCTCGGTGAACCCGCTGTTCACAACATTCATGCCTTGTTTGCATTTGGGATGTTGTTGATATGCTGTGGACTTTTGGAAGACGATCTGAAGATATCTGAATTGTTTTTAAAGAAGGTTGGTAATTTCGAAGAAGCCCACATGATTGTTGATCAAGTTGAGTCAAAAATTTGGGAAATGGGTCTCTTAGGTTATCATTTGTTTGATGGAACTTACCATTTCCTTGATATCCCTGCTTGCATGTTTTATCATTTTGGGCCGGTTGATCTTTGTGAAGAATGCTTTGCGTACACTTATGCCACGAAAATCCATGAAATGTGCTAATTATATATATGTTCTTAGTTTAGTGTTTAGAAGGTTTGTTATCTAAACACGTTTGTTCTTAGTTTAGTGTTTAGAAAGTTTGTTATCTAAACACGTATGTTCTTAGTTTAGTGTTTAGAAGGTTTGTTATCTAAACATGTTTGTTGTTTTAAGTTTCTTAATGCTATGTATGGTTTTTGAAACCTTGTCTCTACTTGTATGTTTTTTGGCTTAGTTGTGGTAATTGTGTTTCATGGTAATATAAGTTTGTTCCGGGAATTCATAACTTGTTCGAATCGATTATATGAGTTAGAAATGTGAACAGAAGAAGGAGATTTACGAGGAATTCATAATCAAACATATATTATATCCTTATATAAACCGCCCACCATTATATCAAATTAGGCTTTCTACCTTTACTTTTTATTTGTCATTGCATAAATGGGAGATTTTCCATTGTAAACATTCAAATAAGAATCAAGGAAGAGCCAACTTTTCTGACAACTATCAAACTTTTTGTAGTCATGAGCCATTGGTTGACGAACCACGGATCAAGGAAGGCAATCCTGTCTGTTAAGAAAGGAGAGAGTGGTTGCAATGACCTTTTCCTAAGCATATGCATTAGTGCGCACATGTGCTGGAAAACATTCAGGAATGGTTGTTAGAATGGTAGACAAAGTTGAAAACCAAATGGATATGAATATGAAGAGTTCTTAAGATATTTTGGTACTTACCGTCCTTCAACCACCCAAATGTGATGTCTACAGCAAGCCACATTTCCTTTGGAGTGATTAACCAGAGATAAAAATTCGCATATGAGCTCCTATCATCAAATATGTCCTCCCTACAGTTATCAAATGTGATGTCAGTGTATTGTCCAGGAAGAGAAATAAGAGATTTAATTAACTTACCAAACTAAAAAACACAAAGAAAACTTACAGATTTTAGTCTATAAACTCCAAAAGCAACTGCACCTTCTCTTGAGTCACCTTCTCAAACGAATCATAGTGATGTGGGGATAGCACTTTTCCCTGGAGAATACGCTTCACAACCGAGCTTCCTATGTACGGATCGATTTTGAGTATATGTAAGGTTTTTGGTCCTAACATTTTTTCCAATCTTTGGAACCTCATCAATCTTCTTGCATAACATATACAAGTTCTCTACCCTAGGACCTAAACTTTTCCTTGCTTGAAACTCAGCTGGATCTGTAGTCTTGGTTTGAGCCATTAAAACCTCATGACTCAAATCAATGAATTTGCTTTTTGTTCCTTTACTATGATGAATTGCGTCAAACTCGGCTGTCATAACTAAAATCTGGAAGAACCTAGCATTTGATATATAATTAAGTTCCTTGAAAATTGTCACGATTCTCCACGACCTTACGACATGTTCTGCATAAAAAACGAGTGTGCTATGTAAACAAATTCCTTTGATGTAACACTGTAACTTACAAGGACTGAAAAGACAAATATCATACCTCAACATGATCAGCATAACCTTCACCTGTTCTAGAGTCTCCATTCTCGCCACCCTTTCTTCTGATCCATATCTTCGCTCTTCAATTCTCTCTTCTACGTTGGAGTGCTTAACATTCTGCAGCTCCATAACATCACTCTCAAGGGCTATGACTTTGGTCTGCATATTTGTAACTCTCTCATCAATACTGTCAAGTCTGCCACCAAGATTTGAGTTAACAGTATCCAGCTTATCAGAAATAGTAGCAACCAGCTTCATGATCCCTTATAATGATGCTTTCTCCTTAACCTCTATTTCCCTGCCACCTTCACTTTCATCACTTACATCTTTCAGTTTCACAGGACCTCTTGATCTTCTAACAGTTTGCTTACAAGTTTTGGTCTTTTTCTGTTCAGGTTCCTCCTCAATTTCTTCAGGACAATCCACTTTATGTTTCCTCTTCTCCAACTTATGCTTCACATCTCCAATTTCCAAGTTCTCCTCCCAATGTTTTTCATCAACACAACCATTCAAAATATCATGGAGCAGATTATCAAGTTGCTTTTTCGCACCTACACCTTCCCCATACAGATCATTCTCTCCTGGCCAGAAGGGATATATCTCATCTTCAGGTTTCACCACACAATGCTTCACTGCCACCTATAAGTGTTGTGAAAAAAATTATAATTTAACTTGAAGTTTAATCCAATGCACATCAAGAAGCTACAATATCAAATGTTAGTACTGAACATGCCTTCTTCTTTAACTTTTTCTCACTTGCTAATGTTTCTGCAAGTCCAATTCTGGGACGACTACCACCCCAACACAGAAGTGGAACATCTTCTTTAGCCTTAACATCATCTTCATTCTTCCTTTTGTTTCCATACTTTTTCCCTAAATTAGTCAAACTATCCAAAGCCCAAATCATCACCACATGCACACATCCATGGATTGCATAACCATCTTGAGCAAAAGAAACAACTTTGATGGACTGCATTAGTTCTTTAAAACCTATACGGCCCCATGGAAATCTCTGAAATACATGGATGTCCAACACTTTTTTTGCGTACTCCAATGTAATTCTGCTTGATCTGGATATTCCCAACATACCAAAATGCATAACAAACAACAGACCTATCATCTTTCTCTTTGAAGCATCCCAAGTTCTGCAATTCTTCAAAGCTACATTCAAGTCATACCAGTTTGGTCCTACTCCCACATCAACCTGTAGCTCTTCCCAGAATTCTGTATGATCAACATCCACTTGATCCTCCACATCTATGGGGTTACAATTCAGCCCTGAAATGTGTTCATATTCATATAGAAAAAATCTGATTGGGCTACCTTCAATCAATGCCCACATCTCATTTGTACGAGCATGGAGACCTAGATCATCCTCTCGAGCCTTTAATGAGATTCCACGGTAAGTTGTGATGTTGTACTTGAACTATGTGAGTATTTCTTGGATTTGACTTGTTGGTGTCATGTGAAGAGAATATGTGTCAGTTTCTAAAAATAGAAAGTGTCGGGTTTGACAGTTCTATTTTTAGAAAGTTTTGGGATTGTGGTTAGTATAGCATTGTGATGCTATAGGGGAACCACGGGAGGTATATCTAATCTGGAGATATGCTCGGGGGCGTTTAGACTTATTTGCTCGGGTGTGATGTGATAGTCTCGGATGAGATGTGATAGTCTCGGATGACGATTCGAGAGCACGCTTAAGGGTGACGACCCGAGAGCGAGTGGTGAGACTTCCCGGATACCGTAGCTTGAAGGCTGGTGGCCTAATAGTGAGCCGGTATGACTCGAAGGTTGCGACCTGAGAGCGGGGGGAGTGGTGAGACTTCCCGGATACCGTAGCTTGAAGGCTGGGGGCCTAATAGTGAGCCGGTATGACTCGAAGGTTGCGACCTGAGAGCGAGGGAAGTGGTGAGGCTTCCTGGATACCGTAGTCTAAGGCTGAGGTCTGAGGACGAACCGGTATGATCCACGGGTTGCGACCTGTGGACGGGGGAGGTGGTTGTGTATGAGCAAATAAGGTCTGGAATGTGAGTATATTGATTAGATAGGGGCCTCGGAGAAGTCAGTTGTGTGCTGACGGACGGTGTTGAAGGATTCGAGGACGAATCCTAGTTAGTGGGGGAGAATTGTAACGTCCGTGTCTGAAATTTTGGTGGTGTCGACCGACACCAGTGTTGGGTGTCGATCGACACCAACAAAATTAGGTTAGACGGTTTAGCATTTAAACTGTTGGTTTAATTGGAATTGATTGGAGAAACCCTAGGCACGACTTTAACTCGTAGAAGCAGCCTTTCTTTCTCACTTTTGGCTTTTGTCGCTTCTTAAAAACAAAAGAGAGAGAGAGGGTTGAGGGTTGGTTGTTCCTAAAGCTTAAGGAGAGGCTTGTGAGGGTTTCTGGAGGTTTCTGTGGCTAGTTTTGGTTAGTTCTAGCAAAGAGAGGGTTGGA